AAGGCCGATCCTGACGAGGTGCGAGGGCTCCGGCATTCCGGGGAATGGGGTGTAGTGGAGGTTACTGGGCTGAGGCTGGCGGTGTTGGGAAGATGGGAGGGATGGGAGTGCGGGGCTGGGAGGTGGAAGGGCTGAGGGCGCAGGGGAGGCTCGTGGTGGGAGCTGGTGACTCCGGTGTTAGATTGAAGGGGAGGATGCTTGGCAGAGTTAGGACTGCGAGGAGGATGCTGGAAACCGCTGGTGCATGTAGCAGGAACTGGTGGGATAGGAATGGGGAGATAGCTGTGGATGGTAATGGAGGTCGTGGGAGTCAGGGAATGGTGGGGGTGTTTGCGTTGCTGAGATGGGGGTGCTGGTACGAGAAATGGGAAGTACTGGAGAAGAGCAGGGAATGTCTCTGTGCTTGTTGAGAAGCTGGGAATAGTGGGTGTATTGAGGTTGTGGGGTGCAGGTGAAATGGGAACGCTGAGGTTGAAGGGCAGTGGGCTGGCCTGGTGGGTGGTCTTATCCTCAGCTCCTTCCTTGCTCCATCCCCAGATTGCAAAGGAAGTGGCAAAGCTGCTCGAGATGAAGGCACAGCTGGGGGCAGATGAGGGGAAACACAAGTTTGTGCTCAAGACCCCAAAGGTAACTCCCCACAGCTCACTCCTGTGCCCCTCTGTGTGCATGTCCTCCCCCCATACACACACCCAGCACCCCCCACACATGTGTGGGCAGAAGTCCAGCATGGCCACACCTGTCTTTGTTCACATTTCTGTTTTCGCTTTCAGTTTTAGCAGCAAGGGGGAGAGGGATGAAAACATACCCTGACAGCATTTAACCCAGATACCCACCACCTTAGAGACTTCTGAGTGCTTCTGTGACATTCCAGCCACCACTGGTGTGGTCAGGAAATTCCCTTCTAACCAAGCTTTATCATAACTGCCCAGTGTGAGAGGGGCTCATATCTGCTCCTAGTCTAAGGGGCAGAGTAATCCCATTTACTGAGCAGGTCTGGCTTGCTGCTGGAAATTTCTGTGTCCTCTTTTGGAAGGACCCTTCCTTTACAAGTAGTTTTTCAGTCTCCAGACCTCTAAGAATAGTGCTTCTAATGCAATTTCTGCTGAGATACTTTGTAACCTGAATGTTTCATCACTGGCAGCTGATCAGAGACCACCTACTTTCACTCTGTGGCATAGAGACTGTTATGAATATGTCCACAAACAAAGCAGGCTGTGGTGATGCCACTGACATAGGAAGTCATAGAAAACATGGAATGGTTTGGGTTAGAAGAACCTTAAAGCTCATCTTGTTCCACCCCCTGCCATGGTCAGGGACACCTTCCACTATCCCAGGTTGCTCCAAGCCCCATCCAGCCTGGCCTGGGACACTTCTAGAGATGGGGCAGCCACAGCTTCACTAGGCAGCCTCACAGGGAAGATTTATTCCCAATATTTAAATGTCTCAAAATTGTCCCTTTGTCCATTTCCTTTATGATGTGTTTTGTTGAATGTAATTGTGGTGTGATGCCTGGGAAGTGGAAGGGCATTTTATTGTTTGAAAGTGTGGAGAAGGGGATTTTGCAGCTCTACTGAGTGCCAGAAAAATTCAGTTGATTTTGCCAGCCCATCTCAGACTTGTCAATGGCAGCTGAAGGCCACCTGAGTGATCTGTGGGTGGGGGTGCTTCCTTTTGCCTAACTGGTTTCATAAACCAGGTTTTATATTGAACAGGTGTTATAAAGTGGAAGTTGGAGATCTAGCTAATTAACAATGATTTGTATGTTACTGAGAACATGAAGGTTGTCATTGAAATAATTCAGCAACACCAAAGAAATGGAAAGGGTGTGTGGCCCTGTGAATCATAGACATATATTTCACAGGTGTTGCATTTTGAAAGGTGATTTTTCTCTGTGTTTGGAAATTGCAGAGCTGATGGTTCCACAGTTTCAGAGCATGTCTGTCCTCTGTTCCCACCTTTGGGGTGGCTCATTGGGCAGGGGTCTGGCTAATAGGTCTGAGTCAGAGCTGGGGACAGGTCCTGGTTGCACTGTCAGCTCAAAATCAGGCTGAACTCTGATTGCTGGATCTGTTTTATCTCATTTGTTTCCTGTATTCTGAAACTCCTGACTTAGGCTTCGCTCTGCAGACCGTGGCAGACTCTGAGCTGTGTCCTGATGTTTTCCAGCATTTTTTGTGGTGCTTACCAATATCTGGTGTCTGGACCTGGTCTCTCTGGCTTAGTTTAGTAGTATGTCAGATTCTTCATATTGCTTCTGGCATCTTTCTCATGTCATGCCTCTAACCCAAAGTGTCCTTTGCTCCTTTTCTTCCCTCATCCCAGGGCACACGGGATTTTGGCCCCAAGGAAATGGCCATCCGTGAGAGGGCCTTCAAAGCCATCATCTCGTGCTTCAAGCGCCACGGAGCCGAAGTCATCGACACGCCGGTGTTTGAGCTGAAGGTGGGTGAGGACACACAGCAGGTTGGCTGAGCTGGTGAGGATCCTGCAGCTGAGAGTGTTGAGGGTTGAGTTTCCTTCTTCCATTCCTAGGCATTCTCCCTTTCTCTGCTTGTTTTCTGTGTGCTCTAGGGCTGATCTCCTGTCACTGAAGATGCTGTTTGTTTGTGTGTTGTTTTGTTGTAGGAGACACTGACAGGGAAATACGGTGAAGACTCGAAGCTCATCTATGATCTAAAAGATCAGGGAGGAGAGCTGCTGTCTCTGCGCTATGACCTGACAGTATCCTGCCACAGCTGGTGCTGAGGGGCCTTGGCATTCCTCCTTTTGGGGCAGTGCTGTCCTGAGGGGGAGGGAGGACCCTAAACTGAGAGGGATGAGCATGAGCGGTTCAGTGGGTGCAGAACCTTTCTTGGTTATTTATTGTGTATTGCTTCCGTTTGGTGAAGGAATGCTTAGAATCATGGAATATCCTGAGTTGGAAGTGACCCCAGGGATCATTGGGTCCAACCCCCAGTCTGTCCTGCACGGGACACTCCAGCCATGTGCCTGAGAGTGTTTTCCAAATGCTCCTTGAGCTCTCTCAGGCTTGGTGCCACAACCACTTCCTTGGGGAGCCTGTACCCATGCCCAACAACCCTCTGGGGGAAGACCTTTTCCTAACATCCAGCCTGACCCTCCCCTGACACAGCTTCATGCCTCATGTGTCTGGAAGTACAGAAGATCTGTACTGAGTGTGGTTTCTTCCAAGATGGGTTCCCAGGCCAGGTTGCTGCAGTACACAGCCCACATGAGACTGAGATCTAGCCTAAGGTCCTACTGGACAAAACCTGAAGGGACACTTGGAGGCGGCGTGTGTGGAGACCTTGGGGAGCTGTGATAAGTCCAGCTGTCTTTTAGCAGTCCTTTGCCCCAGGGGTGCTGGGTGGGACCAGTGAGGACCCAGCACTGCCTGTGACTGATAAGTGGGGGGGATGTTCCCTTCTTGTTGCCATCCTTAACTCTGTCTCAGGTACCCTTTGCTCGCTACCTGGCCATGAACAAGATCACCAACATCAAGCGCTACCACATTGCCAAGGTGTACAGGAGGGACAACCCAGCCATGACCAGGGGCCGCTACCGCGAGTTCTACCAGTGTGTGAGTTTGGCAGAGGACAAGGACCCTGCTGGGACAGACTGTGGGCTGGGTTGGCACTGTCAAAATAACAGCTGTGTTACCCTTCCCTGTGGCTGTGGAAAGCTCTGAAGGATCCACTGATCTTCTCCTTAGTGTGTCCTTATGAGTGTGAAAAACAACTGGAGGGTGGAGAGTGGCTGTGACAGCTGTGACACAGTGCTGGCATGGTGTGGAACTTTGTCATAGAGCCCCCAGGTATCACCTCCTTTGCACTGTCTGGGAGGGCAGCTCCTTGCTACATCCCATAGTGCTTGCTGGATGGGTGGTGGGGAAGAATTTCCTTCTGATCCCAAATCTGGCAGCAGTTCAGCTCTGGGTGTGTTATCAGGACCTACAAACCAGGCAAGGCAGTAGCATATGCTGCTTTACTTCCATGTTCAGTCAATTTTAACTTCAAAGGAAGGGAAAACCCAGAGGCCAAATTACAAAACAAGTAACAAAGCAATTTCCTTCGTGGCTCTCTCATGGTAGCCCTAAGGAACAGCTTTGCTCTGTTCTACTGACACAGTCCCCAGGGACTCAGATTGCAAACAACTTTTTTTGTTTGAGAATATTTCTACTTCATTATACAACCCATGGGAATACCTTCCAGCTTTGGCTTGGTGATTCCTGTTTCCAGATGACGTGGGGTCATTGCCTCCTGTCTCATCTCTTATTCCAAGATCCCACTCCTAGGATGGCTAGAAATGGTCTTCTAATATCCAGGCTAAACTTATTTGTATCTGATTTTTGCCTTCCTCTTCTTTAAAGAGTTCGGCTCTTAAAACAGTAGCTGTCATCCCTTGATATGTATTCTTCCCCTTTCCCAGGTAAACATTTGGGAAATCTTTAGAGAAATCTTCCCCTCCTTATATCACATAAATCAAGCTCTGTTACCTTTGTTACCTTTTCTCCTTGGAGATGTTTTCATTATTTTCTGAGCCTAGGACATTTTTCTGCAGCTTTTCTTCAATATAATTCACCACACCCTGTTTTTTTTTCCGTGATATTTCATCTGTGCCATTTACAATAATATCAGCACTTTCCTGACTTCCTGTACACTTCCTCACCCAACTTTCCCAGGGATTGCATCAGCCCTCTTTGCACTCAGCTGATTGGGAATTAACTATGTGATCCCATCTCTTCCTCCAATGCCCCAGTTTATTTTGAGAGCTTGATTAAGCCCTCTTGAAATATATCCACATAATGAAAATTATTCTTGTACCCAAAAATCTCACTGAAGACTTTGCATTTGGGGATTCCTAAATAGGAGTTGAAGAAGGGCTCTCTTGTTGCTTCTGTGTTTTATTTGTCTCTGAACACTGATGCTCTTTTCCAATCATGGGATACCAGCCTATTAAAGTATCTTGATGTTGGGCTTTGGTTCTTCTGTGTGCTAATTCATCTGGTGATCTCTGGTGGGGATCACTCAGGGTTCCTGATTCCTTTTTCTGTCTTAGCAGTTGAAACCCTGGTTTTGCTTCTCTTGCCTTCTCTAATCATTAACTTGATTGGCATGTGTATTAAAAAGCATCCTAAGAATCAAGGCGAAACATTTGGCATTTAGGTTACAGCAAATGAGAAGTAGTTTTTTTCCTCCCCTTTCTGATTCGTTTGTTCTATTTATTTACTGCTGCTACTCCATTTGTTGTTTTTTGGGGATCTCTGTTTCAGAGATTCACACAACTGCTGGGTATGGGGAGCAGGTCAAACTGTGTACAAGCAGTGTACAAACTCTGAAATGCAGTGGACATGAGAGCACTGCTGCCTTCCATGATAGAGGTCCTATCCCACATTCTGGCCCTTATGGACTGAGTCTGTAAGGGATAGTGCTCCCTTACATCTCAGTTCTGTTGGGTTTTGTATACAAACTGCTGTTACCAGTAGTTGAAGCTATTTTTCTGCAGTGGTGCTGAATTGCTCTCTGCCTTTTCCTCTGCCCCCAGGACTTTGACATTGCCGGGCAGTTGAAGATTGTGCATGAGATCCTGAGTGACCTGCAGCTCGGGGACTTTGTCATCAAGGTGAGACTGGGTGGGTTCTGTGTGCCACAGTGGGAAGCAGTGGTCATTGTTCCTGTGGTTTTACACAGTAGTACCTGTTCCCACTCTAAGGCCTGACCCGGGAGTTTGTCCCTCCTGTCTGCCTGGAAGCCTCTTGTGCTAAAGATTGGATCTTCACTTGGATTTGCTTTGAGCTGGGAAGGACAGGAGTTTCCCTGAGGCTGCAGTGACAGTGTTCTCTCCAGAACTAACCATGGTCCATTCCAAAATTCCAGCAGCCAGCTAGAAGGATAGAATGGTCTGGGTTGGAAAGGACCTTAAATATAACCCTGTTCCATTACTCTGCCATGGGCAGGGACACCTTCCACTAGACCAGGTTGCTCCAAGCCCTGTCCAGCCTGGTCTTGAACACTTGCAGGAGTGAAGTTGTCACGGCTTCTCTGGATAACCTGTGCCAGGGCCTCACCACCCCTATAATAAAAAATTTCTTCCCAATATCTATCTAAGCAGGTGATTGTCATATTCACTGCCTGCAGTAGAGCAGGCTCTGGTCCAGGATTCCTGCCCTTATCCCAGCTCCCAGTGTCTCCTTAGCAGGGGCATCTGCTCAGTGTGTGGTGTTGCCTGCAGACTCCTGCCTTTCCACCAAATCCTTTTTGGAGCTGAAGCATTTTCTAGAATAAGAGCTGTGCCCTACTGTAGGCTGAGCTTGCTATTTGCTTCCAGACACCTCTGTTCCCTTGGGATGGCAGGAAATGGTGCTCAATGTGTAGGTGAAAGGATGGGAAGGGTGCACAGGAGCAGGAGAGCAATGGGCAGGAGTGGTGGATGCACAGGAGGGCAGTGGGATCTATGGGAGACTTGGAGCTGGGCCATTCCTGGGCACTGCAGGCTGGATGTTGTGTTCCTATTGCAGCCCCATGGGGCAGGAGCCAGGTATTTCCCCTTGAACCTTTCTGGGGTAAGATGAAGGAACTGGGTGTTTTGGGCAGTGGTGAAAATGTGACCTTTGAGGATGAAGACATTCCTGCAGTGGGGAGCAACAGAATAACCTGCCTGTGGTTATTTGTGTCTATCACAAGGCACTTTCTGGTTCTTGTTGATGCTGGAGGAGTCCGAATTCCTGTGCAGTTTGTTTCTGACTAATTGTAGTCAGAATTGTTCTCACTGGCCATGGAAATGTTGAATCCAGCTGAGTCTTTGGCCTTAATTATGTGCTCTTACAGAGCATAATTAAGCTACAGAATTCACTATACTATCATTAAAAAAATAAATCCTCATTGAGGATTTAACATAATCAGATGTCCTTTTTCTCTTATGCTGATAGTGTAGGGTAATACTCTGGATTAATCTCCTTGGCTGTGGTCTGTTCCTGAGCTGTTTTTACATGTCCACACGAGGGGACTCAGACCCTGATGGTTTTTTTTTCTCTGTTGAGTGGAGGTGTCTGTGGCTCTAGAAGGAAATGTGATGGCCCTGCTCAGGCTTAGTAGATGTCAGTTGTGCTATTTCATCTGCTCTGGTAAGCTCAGCTCCCCAGGACTGGGAAACAGAAATGACAAAGAGCAAAAAAAACCCTTGACAGACATCTCCTATGTTCTTTTCCATGCTTAAAACTGCTAGGTGAATGAAGCAGGACACTGCTGAAGCATCCGTTTGAGTTCATAATTCCTGATGTGCTGCTCCTTTTCCCCCAGGTCAATGACCGGCGCATCCTTGATGGGATGTTTGCAGTTTGTGGTGTCCCAGACAGCAAATTCCGAACCATCTGTTCCAGTGTTGACAAACTGGATAAGGTATGGGCTGGAGCCCCAGGCTGTATCTGCTGCTGCTGGAGTCTCAGTGAATGAACCATGGTCCATGAGAATTGTCTGGAAAATGCTGATGAGCATCGAGTTGTTCCCACCTTTCCCTGGAGGGGATACATGCAAGGGCACAGCATTCACATAGAAAGACTGGATCCTCTGTTTTGTAATCCACTGTCCCATGAGGTCCTGATAAAAAGAAAGGTGGGAGGGGAAAAATGCTCTTCCCATAGGAGGTTCAATATCTAAACCTTCACCTGCTCAAGGTGTTGCTGCTTATGAACCAGGCTTATAAAACCTGCACGAAATTAGGCTAGGGCAAGTTAAAAAGAGCAGCTTATGTCTCATCTCATGTGGTCATGGTTCTTTGTTGAAGGGTGAACTGCCTTTTCCTGTGGAGGATTCATGAGATGGTCAAATGAAGGCAAGTGGAGGAATTCTCACTCAGCCCTGTTAGCAGAGATCCATTGCAGAGGCATGACCAAAGTTTTGGGCTGTGTATGTGTGAAAAATCAATGGGAAGGGAGCATTGGGCTTTTTGCTGATGGGATCATTTCCTTGTGATTTATCTCAGTGCATCTGGATGTGATCAAGTCTCTGATTCCCTTTGACCCCTGGTCAGTGGGAAATGGCAGCATATCATGCTTACATTGGTTTTTTTTCCATTACCTAAGCAGTACCTCATGCCTTTCCAGGTGATTCCCACCTTTCCATGACCAGCAACACTTTCCTGAGTGGTGTTTCTGACTAAATACCTAACCAGGGAAACCACAGCAGCAAGATGGCTCTCAGACTGGGTGGTTATACAGCACTGATATTTGATTCTGGCCAGAAGTCAAACTAAAAGTATTTTTAAAGGCTTGGGATACAAACAGGCTGTGCAAAGGGACAAGAAATGGAGTTATGCACACATGACCGTGCTCTGAGAGCTGCTGCTTCTCTCATGCACATTCTAACCATGATGATGAGATTCTGCCATGCAGAGGAGAGCCCATGGGCCCTGGTGTGATGCCCTTCTCTCCCCTCACAGGTGCCGTGGGATGAAGTGAGGAGTGAGATGGTGGGAGAGAAGGGGCTCTCTCCCGAGGCTGCGGATCGCATCGGGGAGTATGTCCAGCTCCATGGTGAGCACCATGGCTTGTGCCCTTGGCCTTGCTCTGGGCTGGGGATGGAAGGTGCAGGGCACACACCCGGCTGTCTGGGGCCCCCGTGCCGGGTGCCCTGGCACAGCTGAGGCACGGCTGGTCCCCACAGGTGGGCTGGAGCTGATTGAATGGCTTCTCCAGGACCCAAAGCTATCCCAGAACAAGCTGGCCAAGGAAGGGCTGGGGGACATGAAGCTGCTGTTTGAGTACCTGACCCTGTTTGGCATCACAGGGAAGGTGAGGAGGTGTGGGGGCAGGGGAGGGGGTGCTGCCCTCGTGGGCCTGTGAGCAGCCGGTGACGGAGCCGCCCTTGTGCCCTGCAGATCTCCTTCGACCTGAGCCTGGCACGGGGCCTGGACTATTACACGGGGGTGATCTTTGAGGCTGTGCTGCTGCAGCAGGAGAACGAGCACGTGGAGGAGCCCGTCAGCGTTGGGAGCGTGGCTGGAGGCGGCCGCTATGACGGGCTGGTGGGGATGTTTGATCCCAAGGGCCGGAAGGTGCCCTGTGTGGGGGTCAGCATTGGGATTGAGCGGATCTTCTCCATCCTGGAGCAGAGATTGGAGGTAGGTGATGCAGGCAGTACATTGGAGAAGGTTCCAGGAAGCAAAATACTGTTTATTAGAGGTATCCAGCTCCAGATTGCTCAAGGGAAAATAATTTTTGGGGGAGAGGGTGGCTCTTCCTGTGCCTAAATATCAATGCACTGAAGACAGAGTCATTTTCTGCAGCCCATCAGGATTCAGGTGTGGGCAGCCAAGGACAGCATTCCTTAGGAGATGTCAAGGAAATGTTAGTGACAGCCTTGAGTTCTGGGCCTGGCTCTGAGCTTTGTGCTCCAGTCACTTCTTTCTTGTGTCTTTCCTCTGAAGTTTTCTGTCCTGGGGATTCTGAAGCAATGAATTCGGTAATGGCTGTGACCTCACACTAATAAACCCCAGGAAAGTCTCTGTAGAGATTTATCATTCTGTGTTTGGTTCCAAGCCTGTGATTCCTAGCAAGTGAAGCTTAGGCAATGTATTTGTACTTGAAGAATCAAAGGAGACATTGGTCCCATCCAGGTGCTTGGCCAGGGTCCCCTAGGAACAGCAGCACACAATTCAGTAGTGTGACACAGTGCAGAATCTCTGGGGGACTCATTAAAGGTGCCCAGGTTGTCACTGTTGCTGGTGATAGATGAGCTGAGGTGTTGTGAGCTGTGGATTCCCACGGACTCACTCCCATAAATGTCCTGTGTCTGTGCCTTCAGGCTTCTGGGGAGAAACTTCGAACAACTGAGACCCAGGTGCTGGTGGCCACGCCACAGAAACACCTGCTTGCTGCCAGACTGAAGCTCATCTCTGAGCTGTGGGATGCAGGGATCAAGGTAAAGGAATGACTTGGGCTTGGCAGTGTCATAGGTGAGGGAGGGAGAGCCTGAAGGGAGCTGTAGCACAGCAAGACCAACTCCATTAGTTTTGTGTCTCTCCAAGATCTGGGCCTGTCAGAGATCACAGAGTCATTTGAATTGAAAAAGACCTCAAAGATCATCAAGTCCAACCTTTAGGTCTAGGCAGGCAGAGAAGAATGGGCCAGAGCAGCAAAGTGATTGCTGCAGGGTTTGGCATTGGTGCTTCACTGCAGTACTCATCAGAGTGAAGCTGGGTTAGTGATTCGCCCTTCCCACCCCCTCCTAGGCAGAGATGCTGTACAAGAAGGATCCTAAATTGCTGAAGCAGCTGCATTATTGTGAGGACATGGGGATCCCCCTTGCTGCCATTGTGGGAGAACAGGAGCTGGCAGATGGAGTCGTCAAGCTGCGAGATGTTGCAACAAGAGAGGAGGTGAGAATGCCCTTTTACACCAGGTTTTAAAGTACTTCCAAGCTCTAGAGATCACTGCAGAGCTCTGGGTTTTCCCTCAGCATTCCTTTGGGAGACCATAGCACAGATCTATTAGGGTGACACCAGAAAGCCAGTCACAAACTGCATTGGTATCCTCAGTCCTTAAAAGTGCTCTTCTCTAATGCTGCTCTGTTTGCTTTGTAGGTTGATATCCCCAGAGAAAAGCTTGTTGATGAGATCAGGAGAAGGCTGGAGCCCTGAGAACCTCTCTGGCCGGAGCTGCTTGGCTGAAGTGCTGCACAACTGGAACAACTCCTCCAGCACCCTCAGCCATTCCCTGCCAGCTGCGGTCTGGGTAACATCCACTCACCTGGGGATCATTGCCTCGGCTAAGGCAGTGAGAACAGAGGAGTAAGAGGGTTTTAAAAGCTATGGATGGTTCAGTCACCAGGTTAACCTCCTGGTTAGCTCCTCTGAAGGTTAAGTTTGTGGGTTCCTAACACTGCAGTCCCTGTATCTGTACAGCCATTTCCATCACTGTGGGTGGTGATGGCCCAGCTCAAACAGGATCAGGCGGAACTCCTGATTTGGGACGGGGAATCTGTGGTGTGTTGGGCACGTGTCAGCTCAGGGCGAGGGGGGCAGTGGAAGGGCACCCCCGCCCCAATTGGGGCTGCGGGGGCCGGTCCCAACC